TAAATAAAATAGTGAGGCAATGTGAATTGCCGGAGATAGTTAAGGTGTAGTGCTCAGACGACTTTAGGTTTCTAGAGGTGAATTTTTAAATTATGCTGAGTTTATACAATTATTTTTTTATTCGCTGATGTACTCGTATATATGTAAAGGTATTTAAAAACATTTCAATGGGAATTGACTGACGTTTATTTCAAATTGTACTTGTGAATAGGCGCGTCATCGATTCCGAAGCTTGTGAATTTTAAGCCCCTCTTGGGAGCGCCGCTGAAGCAGGGTATGGCAGTACGTCACCAAACTGGTTCTTGGTATGCGGTAGCGGTCGTGACAAAGGACTCGGGAAGATGAAGGTCTTGAAGTCCTCGTCGTCGAGGTGGTGATGGGCGCGAGCGTGCGCGTTCGCTAGCGCTTCACCCAAGGTGGATGCGCGGCTGGTACTTGTGCATGGAGTTGAGCACAGCTGGACAGGACACGTAGCCCCGTTAGGTCACGGCGGCGACCCGGCCATCTGCGAAAGGCGCGCGCCACCTCAACCGGCCTGCCCGCGCGCGCCGCGCCCGCGTCGCCCGCCGACTCGCCACGCTCGCCCTGCGCGCCGCGCTCGCCCTCGCCCGCGCCGCGCTAGCTTCGCACCGCGCCCTCGCCCTCTGCCCGCGCTCGGCCGCCTCGCCTCGGCCCGCTAGCTCGCTGCGCTCGCCCTCGCCCGCGCTCGCCCTCCGCCCCGCGCGTCGCCTCCGCGCCGCGCTCCCCGCCGCCGCTCGCCCAGCTCGCCTCGCCCGCGCCGCGCCCCGCCGCGCCGCCGCGTCGCGCTCGCCCGCCGCCTCGTCCCTCGCCCCGCCCGCGTCTCCCGCCGCCTCGCCTCGCCGCCCGTCGCCTCGCCGCGCTCGCCTCTCGCCTCTCGCCGCTCGCCCTCGCCCGCCGCGCTCGCCTCCCTCGCCGCGCTCGACCTCGCCGCGCTCGCCCTCGCCGCGCGCTCGCCTCGGCCCGCGCTCGCCTCGCCGCGCTCGCCCTCCCGCGTCGCCGCGCGCTCGGCCCGCCCGCGCTCGCCTCGCCGCGCTCGCCCGCGCCCGCGCTCCCCGCCCTCGCCCGCGCTCCGCTCCTCGCCCGCCGCTCCCTCGCCCGCCCCCGCTCGCCGCCTCGCCCTCGCCCGCGCTCGCGTCGCTGCGCGCTCGCCCTCGCCCGCCTCGCCTCGCTCGCGCTCGCTCCGCCGCGCTCGCCCTCGCCCGCGCTCGCCTCGCTAGGCGCTCGCCCTCGCCCCCCTCCTTCTCCCGCGCTCGCCTCGCCCTCGCTCCGCCCTTCGCCGCGCTCGCCCTCGCCCTCGCCCGCGCTCGCCTGCCCTCGCCCTCGCCTCGGCCCGCGCTCGCCCGTCGCCGCGCTCGCCCTCGCCCTCGCCCGCGCTCGCCCTCGCCCGCGCTCGCCCTCGCCCTCGCTTCGGCGCTCGCCCTCGCCCGCGCCCGTCGCCCGCGTTCGCCCTTCGCCGCGCTCGCCCTCTGCCGCGCTCGCCTCGCCCGCGCTCGCCCGCGCCCGCGCTCCCCCCTCGCCCAGGCTCCCCCTCGCCTGCGCTCCCCCTCGTCCCGCGCTCCCCCTCGCCCGCGCTCCGCCTCGCCGCGCTCGCCCTCGCCCGCGCTCTCCCTCGCCCGCGCTCGCCCTCGCTCGCGCTCCGCTCTCGCCCGCGCTCGCCCTCGCCCGCGCTCGCCCTCGCTGGCGCTTCGCCCTCGCCCGTCCCTCCTCGCCCGCGCTCGCCCTCGCCCTCGCTCGCCCTCGGCCCGCGCTCGCCCTCGCCCTCCGCCGCGCTCGCCCTCGCCCTCGCCCTCGCCCTCGCCCGCGCTCGCCTCGCCCGCGCTCGCCCTCGCCCTCGCCGCGCTCGCCCTCGCCCGCGCTCGCCCTCGCCCTCGCTCGCGCTCGCCCTCGCCCGCGCCCGCGCCCGCGTTCGCCCTCGCCCGCGCTCGCCCTCGCCGCGCTCGCCTCGCCCGGCGCTCGCCCGCGCCGCGCTCCCCCTCGCCAGCGCTCCCCCCTCGCCTGCGCCTCCCCCTCGCCGCCGCTCCCCCCTCGCCGCGCTCGCCCTCGGCCCGCCTCGCCCTCGCCCCGCTCGCCCTCCGCCGCGCTTCGCCCTCGTCGCGTCGCTCTCGCCCGCGCTCGCCCTCGCCCGCGCTCGCCCTCGCTGGGCGCTCGCCCTCGCCCTCCCTCCTTTCGCCCGCGCTCGCCCTCGCCTCGCTCGCCCTCGCCCGCGCTCGCCCTCGCCCTCGCCCGCCGCTCGCCCTCGTCCTCGCCCTCGCCCTCGCACGCCGCTCCCTCGCCCGCGCTCGCCCTCGCCCTGCCCGCGCTCGCCCTCGCCCGCGCTCGCCCTCGCCCTCGCTCGCGCTCGCCCTCGCCGCGCCGCGCCGCGTTCGCCCTATCGCCCGCGCTGCCCTCGGCCCGCGCTCGCCCTCGCCCGCGCTCGCCCGCCGCCCGCGCTCCCCTCGCCAGCGCTCCCCCCTCGCCTGCGGCTCCCCCCTCGCCCGCGCTCCCCCCTCGCCCGCGCTCGCCCTCGCCCGCGCTCGCCCTCGGCCCGCCGCTCGCCCTCGCCCGCGCCTCGCCTCGCTCGCGCTCGCCTTCCCCGCGCTCGCCCTCGCCCGCGCTCGCCCGCGCTTGCGCTCGCCCTCGCCCTCCCTCCTTCGCCGCGCTCGCCCTCGGCCTCGCTCGCCCTTCGCCCGCGACTCCCCGCGCTCGCCTCGCGTCGCCCTCGCCCTCGCCCTCGCCCTCGCCCGGGCTGCCGCTCGCCTCGCCCTCGCCCGCTCCGCCCTCGCCCGCGCTCGCGCTCGCCCTCGCTCCCCTACGCCCTCGCCGCGCCGCCACCTGTTCGCCTGCGCCGCGCCTCGCCCCGCCGCGCTCGCCCTCGCCGCGTCCGCGCCGCCCCTCGCCGCCCTCGCCTGTCGCTCCCCCGCGTCCCGCCCGCCGCACGCCCGTCGCCCGCGCTCGCCCTCGCCGGCGCTCGCCCTCGCCCATCGCCCGCCTCCTCGCGCTCGCCTCGCCGCGCTCGCCCTCGCCACGCGCTCGCCCTCGCGGCCTCGCCCTCGCCCTCCTCTTCCCGCGCTCGCCCTCCCGCCCTCGCTCGCCCTCGCCCGCGCTCGCCCTCGCCCTCGCCCGCGCTCGCCCTCGCCGCCGCCTCGCCCTCGCCCGCTCGCCCTCGCCGCGCGCTCCCCTCCGCCGCGCTCGCCTCGCCCGCGCTCGCCCTCCGCGTCGCCCACGCCCCACGTTCTAGCCCTCGCCCGCGCTCGCCCTCGCCCCGCTCGCCCTCGCCGCGCGCCTCGCGCCTCGCCCGCCCGCCCTCGCCGCGCTCGTCCTGCCCGCCGCTCTCTTCGCCCTGCGCTCGCCCTCGCCCTCGCCGCGCTCGCCCCTCGCTTCGCTCGCCCTGCCCTTCCCTCCTTCGCCCGCTCTCCCGCTCCGCCGCTTCGCCGCTCCCGTCCTTGCCCGCGTCACTAGCCCCTCACCCGCTCTCATTTCCGAAACGGTCACCCGTCCTCCCTCGCGCTCTCCCGCCCTCGCTCCCCCAATCTGTGTTAGCTTGCGCTCACCCGTGCTCACCGGATGTCACCCGCTCTCGATCCGCGCTCACCCGTCCTCACTGGCGCTCCCCCACCCTCGCTCCCTAAATTGTGTTCGCCTGCACTCACCCGTGCTCATACGTCATCGCCCGTGCTCCCAACCCTCACTCGCTCTCGATCCGCGCTCCTCCGCCCTCTCCCCCTCACCTGTGTTTGCCTGCTCTCACCCGTGCCCACCTTCCCACCCGTACTCACCTGCACTCCCTGCCTTCCCGCGCCCTCGCTCCCCCACCCGTTTTTATTACTCATCACCCGTGCTCATCAGCGCTCACGCATTTCGATCCGCGCTCACTCACCATCGCCCGTGCTCGCCCACCCTCACCCGACGGCACCCGCTCTCAGCCCTAATCCCCGAAGGACCGTGTGAATTAGTTTCGGACGTGTCTACGGCCAAGTTCATTAGTCCCATGACGGCAGTGCGTGTTACTTCGCGAGAAGCGGCACCAGGCGAATGCCGGAGCAGTACCCTATCAAACGGGTCAAGAAGCGCGGCCGCGGTTTTTCTTTGCTCTTCCTTCTCCTATCAACTCCCCTTGCTTACACACACACACTTACATGCACTACCCAACCACACATGTCAGGAGACCATTCGGTAGCTTTGAGCTTGTCGCTACCGGGGAGGTGCCTCGCTGGGGGAGATACCTCGACGTGGACATACCCGGAATGCCGACGTGCACCGGATTCTCTTGGCGCCGGACCTCACAGTTCAGCGGAGAACAACTACAGGGACTAATGGCCGTAGCAGATGACGTGTCCGGAAACATCAAGCCTAAGAGGACGAGAAATCCAGGTATCTCCCGAAGCGGAGCCTTAGCCCGGCAGAGACAAGCTCTAGGCGCCTGACTGTGTCTCGTGGTAATCTGAGCGTGTTTGTGAGGAAGAAGGCAAAGAAGAGGAAGGAAAAACCGGGCACTCTCGTTGGCGTTTTTATGGAATTAAATAGTTATAACAGTTAACTGTTAAAAAATCTGTTTTGATAGTACCAAAAACAAAAATATCGATATTTCAAGTATGAGAAGAATTGCAACATCTATAACTTCGAGTAAGACTTAGATAGTGAAAACAAAGTAAAGATGGAATGCTAGTTTAAAACTTGTTCGATTAGTGAACAGGGAGAGAAAAGTTATGCGTGAATCAAGCTAATTGTATTTCTGTGCAGCATTTATGAAGTAAATGCATCCTACATAAAATATTATAACCACTATTTACATTATGATTTAAGTATTATTGCAACAGGTTTGCAATGCATTTTTTTGAAAACAAACATAGAAAATTTGGTTAATATTCGTGGAGTATGTGTTAGCGGGAGAACATCGGCGAGGTTCCTTAAAGCTGTTCTAACTCCCGAATGGATTTTTAATTTCATGTTCGTCCCGAAAACACCTTCTACGGGATTTTGTGCCGCAAGCGCCAACTCACGTGTCCATGCTTGTCCATCTCGTTGTTGGTGAGCTTGACCTTCTCGAAGGAGACGACCTGCTTGCGCAGCTGCTCGCCCGTGAAGGGCGAGTCCGGGTGCACGTAGAGGCGGCAGGGCGCCGGCGGGTCCGCCTTGCCCGCCACCAGCCACGACGAGCGGTGGTAGGCGTAGCGGTAGCGCTTGTTGTCCACCGGCACGATGTCCATGAGCACGGCGTAGCGCTGGTCGGGCCGCACGCCCGTGAACGACACGCGGCACGTCGGGAACATGCGCCTGCAACACACGCACCCGCACGCCACATTAGAAGTGTGCGCTCTCCGAGGCTGGCCTTCGAGTGAGGTGCGAATGACGTTGCTGAGTCATCCAGTTATTTGGTACAGATTTACATTATGATTTAAGTATTATTGCAGCAGGTTTGCAATGCATTTTTATGAAAACAAACATAGAAAATTTAAATGGCTTTCACAATGGGAGACGACCCGTTTTCTATATTACTAACTACTACATACTAACATCCCATGTCATCTTACAGTACTCACCATAGTTGCGAATAAATATACATTATATACGAGTAATATTATTAAATAATTTTCCACAAAATCTGATGAAATTTTAAAGCATTGTTGACACTTCGTTTGAAAAATATATAAACGTTTTCGTAAAGACGTATGTTTAACCCCATTTCTACGAGCCTATATTCTAGGATGACACAACTATTTAGAAATTATTAAATCCAAGCGTCCCTTAAGCCATTTGCCTTATTTAGATGCGTCTTCCATTGCCTTTCTGTAAAGTGTATGTTGCAAAATACGTATTGTCAAATTAATTATTTTAATTACTATCTCATACACACCAACCGTTTTTCTTTTAGAAGTATCTTCAACCACATATTATTTACTTCTTTCTCAGCAGCGCAACTTCCTACTTATTTCATTTTATTATGCTTTTTGAACCCTCTTTTCTCTCTTAATTACTACCGTGCCAGGCGCGACTTCTCATTTGTCACGTTTCTGGGTTGTGGCTGAAGCTTCCTGTATCAAGATTCATCAAATCTACCGGGCCATATTTCTGAAACGACAGGGTGGCGTGACGGGTCGACAACGCTGTCACGATGCGAATCTTTAAAGAAAATGGCGAGAGGGAAAAGTATTGCAGTGGCATGTTCAATCATATTAAGGCAGGACATTGAAAAGTGTATATGCGACTTAATCTTGACATAATATTTCACTGCTATAGGTTTCTCGCCATGTTTTTATATCATTTTCTAGAACGAATTGCCAGTAGATTGAAGTTTTCCGGAAATGAAGTAAAAAGTGTCATCAGATAATTGTGAAAAAAAGTTACAATGACGTGAGTTAATAAACGAGCGTTTTCCAGAACATAGTTACTCGTGCAAAATATATTTCGTGTTACTAGTTGACGCGCCACATTTCGTTTTAAAACAATTGTTTCATCACATTACAACAATGTTAATAATAACCTTATTGTGGGTAGAAATATTTGAAGGAAGAAATAAAAGTAAACAAAGAATGAAGTTAAAAGTAATCCTATAAATACTTTTATACAAGACCTCGTATTTATTTCGTCACTGAATTTACAATGAGACAATTCAAATGAAGAGAGAAAGAAACTTTCTGGTAACACTGCCTTGTTGTTCAAGAAGAAAAATATTGAAAAGTTTTCATAAATAACGTTTAGAAGCCTCTGATGAAACATAACTACGTATTCATATTTATTGACCAATGATTCCAAACCGAGAGCAAAACCTCTGGCTGATCTCTGTATTTTACTTCCTTTGCAGTTAGGTTTGATTTTTCTACGCCGTAAGTCAGTTCATCCGTTGCTATTGCGACGTAGTGCAAAAACCAACACGGAAATCCCCAGTCCCTCGATGAGGTAAGAAAGGCGAACGATGTGTACATTCCCACCGCACGCAGATTGCCTGAACGTGCAAATGGCGGGAGCTGCTCTGAACTACGTGCACTAGGCAAATTCAGAGCAAGCCTCTTAGTCAACTGCTGAGTCATGGAGTATTTGTTTATCTTCTCACGTATCTTGCACAGTGAGAACCTTTAATGGGGCATTCGTGCTGGAAACAATGTAGGTCATTCATGGTTTGTAAATACTGTTGAGGTATAATTTGAGATACCATTCGGTTTAATACATTTGTTGTCAAAGCATCGTTGCCATTGTCTGAAAATTGATGTTGTCGGTTAGATAAAAAAAATACATTATTTCATCTCAGTTATTATGAACAATAGCGCCATACGCGAAGATGACTCGCGTATTAGTAAGCATAAATATTTCAAGATAAGTCTAGCTATAAAAATTATAAGAAAAGCATTCTGAGAGGTGAAAAACTGATTATTCAAGGTTGTTTTTTTCTTCTAGTACGTGCAAATTGAGACATCACAGATATCATATCAATACGTTTGCGTTCGTCTAGAGATTTCACATTTTAAATACGTTTTAAAACGAAATTAAGCGCTGCCTTTAACATTCTGGACTTAAACTTTGTCTAGAACAGTTCCAATGTGAACGGAATTCTGCTCCAACTGTACAATTACAATACTGTTATTGTTTCAGCGTTCTCCATGTCAGTTGTAAATTAGAGTGCTGTGTTACAATTTTACACAAATAAATTCGGATTGAAATTAAGACCTGGGTTAGAATTGGATCGTTTTTGACTTTGGATCCGAGTTCTACTACTTTTTCTGTTCTTCTTATTCTTTTTCTTATTTTTCTTATTTTTTCTTCTTTTTCTTATTTTTTTCTTATTTTTTCTTCTTTTTCTTCTTTTTTCTTCTTTTTCTTATTTTTTCTTCTTTTTCTTATTTTTTCTTCTTTTTCTTATTTTTTCTTCTTTTTCTTATTTTTTCTTCTTTTTCTTATTTTTTCTTCTTCATCTTCTTCTTCTTCTTCTTCTGTCGACTCTACAATATCTCGATCGCTGCCGATTTTCATCTGCTCTCCCCTCAACTACCTTTCGCCGAAATCTCCACATCAGTTCCCGAGCCGTTCTCCGAGGACGCGGTCAAACTCCATCGCCGCCCCCGCCCAATTTGGGTTTGAAACCTAAGTAACATTTAGATTCTAGAAATCGAATTCTATCTTTTAATTTGGATTCACTTTCCAATCGGTATCCGTATTCAAACGAAGAGTTGTGTTCGAATGGCAGAAAATCGTACCTTCACACCCCCCCCGGCTGCAAACGCACGCTGACTGCGAGCGGGTGCAAAACGTCGGCGCGCCCTTATCGCGTCACGCGGTGCCGCCGCGCGCAGTCACGTTCGCCTGGCGTCACGCGAAAACGCGCCTCGCCGCGCCGCGCGGCGCATTCGGAAAGACCCCCGCGAGCGCGCGTCGGCGCTACATCTATGCCTTTCGCACTCGTCGAGAGGTTTGTTTTTTTTACTAAATTAGATGTAGAGTAAAATATTATTATTATTATTATTATTATTATTATTGTATTATTATAATATTTAATATTATTAGGGCCGCTGAACCACGTACACGATTTAACGTGGAATCTGGTCCAGCATCAGCCTTTTCAGCTGTATCCTTGGATTACGGCAAGATTGTTACGCCTTGAAGTGTGAATTATGAGTAGATAGGTTGATGAAGGTGAAGGGACATCATGGATTAGGAAGAAATGGGATATTTTTGTGTTGAAATAGGTGATCGTTGGACATTTGCGAAACATCTCAGCATTCGCCTTATGGACTGAGGAAACCACGAAAACCCCGGTCAGATTGTCCGCCCGCGGGAATCGAACCCGGAACTCCCGATTGCCGAAGTTTCAGCGCGCCTACGCCACTAAGCCACTACGCGCTGTGGCGGTGTGTATTATATTATATATATTATATATTATATTTATTATTATTATTATTATTATTTATTATTATTATTATATTATTATTATTATTATTATTATTTATTATTATTATCCTCCGTGGGACTTGTGTTGCAGCCCCGAATTTTCTTTCGTGACGATTTCGACAAATAGTGCCGACTAAAGTTTTTGCTGAAATCTGCGTAAAATTTAAATAATTTTTCGAATTCTTTCACGTAGGAGTGAAAGCACGTCGATATAAATTTAATTACAATGTTCATCAGACCGTAAATTCGTTAATGCAGTAACTAAGGCAAACCTAAGCAACACAACTACTGGATGGACCACAATCTAAAGGTACAAGATAACTATATTATAAACATCTTCATATGATGACATACATTTAGTTAGTCTTTTCCGAATTACTTAAAATTAATTATTTTTTAGGACGTAGAGATTTTTTCCAATAAACATCCTATTTGTGAACATGGAAGCAAAAATAGTTAATTAATTACAAGAGATTACTGCGCGAAAACAAATATTTTTACATTATCGACCGCCATAAAAATCTGGAAGTCTTATCTTAAAAGTGCAAGTTCCGTGAAACAATTCCAAGGCGTTTAGTGCAATGTCCATAAAACTCATGATGAACATTGCCCAGGCGGAGGGCGCAGGCTCCCTGAGCGGAGTCCATTACAGCATTTGACGGGGCGCGCGTCATTAAGGCTCGCGTATTAAACTGCGCAACCAGACGAGCGCGAGAGCGAGGGTAGAGAGCGATTAGGTAAGAGAGAGCAGAGAGCGAGCAAAGGGCAAGTGGGTCGCTTCGCTCTGCTCCCTCCGGACGTTTGACTTCAATGTCAAGAAAAACAGTCATGTAGCTGTCACAAGAAGGTGCAATTTTCCTGCACAGTCTGGAGTGTTTCATTTTACTACATAGATACTTGTACAATCTCTTTTTGCGAAGAGCAAAATCCAAGCAGAGCAGAAGCGAGATTAATTGAAGAATAAGTTGCACAAAGGCCTAAAACATCAACACAAGATACGCAATTAGAACTTGACGAATCATTAATACCTTTAAGAAAAAACATGAATCCCAAGGATGTAGGTACAAGTATGGGTAATGCGGTTTTAGAAATTAAGTTGTAAACATGAAAGGATCCAAGACAGTAAACAGAGAGAAGGCACTTCATATCGGCTGGGGATAGAAAAAAGTGAAATTAAAGATGGAAGCAAAAGGAAGAAATGTAACTCCCAAGAATGAAGAAATAGAGTATTGACATGTGTATTTCTAGCTGTAAACAAAACAGAAAAGAAAGATATTTTAAAAAAAAGTTTATATATGAAATTTATTTTATAAAGAGAGAAAGAGCTGTCCATCATCCCACGGTCTCGCTAAAAGACCTAGCGATTCTCCTAGCGCCCCAGCCTAGGTCGTTATCGCTCGCTGACTTCCTTTCCTCCACCCCCAGCGCACAACCGCCACCGCTGCCTCGTCGCCTCAGCTGCCGCCCTCCGGTCTAGGCTCGCAAGATCAGCGGCCCGGCCGCACCAAACGCAACGGATGCGCCGGCGTGCGCGTGGCCGCCGTACGCCCAGCCCGGGCCCTGCCAAAAGCCAACCCGCGTCCACTTCGCTGCCGCCGCAGCGGGCCGCTACCACCCGAGGGGGGTCCGTGGCTGGCCCCGCGGCAAGAGGGCCGGGACCCGCCCGGCCGGCCCCGCCTCACCCTGCCTTTATACCGTGCGCAGCCTGGAGGTCCCGCAGCCCCACGCGGGCTATGTGGACCCGTTAATGAATGTACCAGATTAACCTGCCGAACTGACTGCCCCGGCGAAGGCAAGCCTGTGTTTTCGTGTTCTCACTTATCTGGGCCCAGTTTGTGGCAACAAGAAGGTCCCACAACTCGATCGAGGTCACCTTAAAACCGACCGCACTGGAACCCCGAGGCCGCCAACTTTCCCATTTACGAACAGCGACCCGGGTGGACCGGTGGCGGGGGGCGCTGCGGGCACGAGCAAAATCCCGGTACAAAGTATTGTGCTTAGAATCTTGGAAGGCGCAAGCGCGACGAGGCGTTG